CAGTCCCATGTAAGCCGCTGTGTCACTTTCAGTCCCATGTAAGCAGCTGTGTGACTCTCAGTCCCATGTAAGCAGCTGTATCACTTCCAGTCCCATGTAAGCAGCTGTGTCACTTTCAGTCCCATGTAAGCAGCTGTATCACTCTCAGTCCCATGTAAGCAGCTGTATCACTTCCAGTCCCATGTAAGCAGCTGTATCACTTCCAGTCCCATGTCAGCCGCTGTATCACTTCCAGTCCCATGTACGCAGCTTTATCACTTCCAGTCCCATGTACGCAGCTGTATCACTCTCAGTCCCATGTACGCAGCACTGTCACTCTCAGTCCCATGTAAGCAGCTGTGTCACTCTCAGTCCCATGTAAGCCGCTGTGTCAGTTCCAGTCCCATGTAAGCCACTGTGTCACTTCCAGTCCCATGTAAGCAGCTGTGTGACTCTCAGTCCCATGTAAGCCGCTGTGTCACTTCCAGTCCCATGTAAGCAGCTGTGTCACTCTCAGTCCCATGTAAGCAGCTGTATCACTTCCAGTCCCATGTAAGCAGCTGTGTCACTTTCAGTCCCATGTAAGCAGCTGTGTGACTCTCAGTCCCATGTAAGCAGCTGTGTCACTTCCAGTCCCATGTAAGCAGCTGTGTCACTCTCAGTCCCATGTAAGCAGCTGTGTGACTCTCAGTCCCATGTAAGCAGCTATGTATACATGCAGAGTGATGTTGGTATGTGGTGAGGTGTGGTAAATCTGATTAATGAAAGCATCACAATGGGATATGACAATGTATATTATCAGCAGATATTTACTCCTGAAGTCATTTCCCGGGAATGTCTTATAGTTGGTGATCATTGTGTTTGTTTTTAAATGTTCTTCAAGTCTGTGGCAGCTGTGTGCAAGAACATGTTTTTGATAAGTGCCATATGTTTCCCACCTCAGATAGAATTGCCCTACAAGCATCCCAGACAACATTTTTAACATTGCATAAGAGCATTTCCTCCCCCAAATGTCAGACAATGAGGGTGAAACACACTGCTTGTACATGTCTTCAGTGGGGGCATCGGGAGCTCTCACTCACTCACTCACTCACTCATCCAAGTGATGCTATTGTGACCGCCATAGATCTGTCGCTGTTAGGTTGAATAAACATACTTTTTTTGTTTCAACCTGATAAAAATACTCTGATAGTTGCTGAAAAGTATTTTCTAGGTGACTGGACTTATTGTCTTTGGTTTGCACTTTGACTCAAAGACACAACATTTGTTTGGATCTAGTATATTACTGAGGAAGACGTTGTACACTTACATTACAGTTTGTCAATGGTTTCTTCGTACAGTTGGTTATGCCAGTCTCCTTCCATGACAATACAGGTTACAATTCTTCAGCAGCCCTTGCCTGTTGTAAGATGCAACTAATGGGATTGAGTGGTATGGCTGCCAACTTGGTTGATGCATGTGAATCTTTATTATTGTGATCATATCTCAATTGTGTAGCTTTAGGCTCATAATGTACTGCTCGACAACCATGTACTGCCCGACAGTGAATACTGCTCGACAACCATGTACTGCCCGACAGTGAATACTGCTGGACAACCATGTACTGCCCGACAGTGAATCCTGCTCGACAACCATGTACTGCCCAACAGTGCATACTGCTCAAAAACCATGTACTGCTCGACAACCATGTACTGCCCAACAGTGAATACTGCTCGGCAACCATGTACTGCTCGACAACCATGTACTGCCCAACAGTGAATACTGCTCGACAACCATGTACTGCTCGACAACCATGTACTGCCCAACAGTGCATACTGCTCGACAACCATGTACTGCTCGACAACCATGTACTCCCGACAGTGATTACTGCTCGACAACCATGTACTCCCGACAGTGATTACTGCTCGACAACCATGTACTGCCTGACAACCATGTGCTGCCTGACAGTGATTACTGCTCGACAACCATGTACTGCCTGACAATCATGTACTGCCCAACAGTGCATACTGCTCGACAACCATGTACTGCTCGACAACCATGTACTTCCGACAGTGATTACTGCTCCACAACCATGTACTGCCTGACAACCATGTACTACCCGACAGTGAATACTGCTCGACAACCATGTACTGCCCGACAGTGCATACTGCTCGACAACCATGTACTGCCCGACAGTGCATACTGCTCGACAACCATGTACTGCCCGACAGTGCATACTGCTCGACAACCATATACTTCCCAACAGTGAATCCTGCTCGACAACCATGTACTGCTTGACAGTGAATACTGGCTTGACATTGAATACTGACTTGACAACCATGTACTGCTTGACATTGAATACTGACTTGACAACCATGTACTGCTTGACAGTGAATACTGGCTTGACATTGAATACTGACTTGACAACCATGTACTGCTTGACAGTGAATACTGACATGACACCCATGTACTGCTTGACAGTGAATACTGACTTGACAACCATGTACTGCTTGACAGTGAATCCTGCTCGACAACCATGTACTGCTTGACAGTGAATACTGGCTTGACATTGAATACTGACTTGACAACCATGTACTGCTTGACAGTGAATACTGACATGACACCCATGTACTGCTTGACAGTGAATACTGACTTGACACACATGTACTGCTTGACACACATGTACTGCTCGACAACCATGTACTTCCGACAGTCATTACTGCTCGACAACCATGTACTGCCTGACAACCATGTACTACCCGACAGTGAATACTGCTCGACAACCATGTACTGCCCGACAGTGCATACTGCTCGACAACCATGTACTGCCCGACAGTGCATACTGCTCGACAACCATATACTTCCCGACAGTGAATCCTGCTCGACAACCATGTACTGCTTGACAGTGAATACTGGCTTGACATTGAATACTGACTTGACAACCATGTACTGCTTGACATTGAATACTGACTTGACAACCATGTACTGCTTGACAGTGAATACTGGCTTGACATTGAATACTGACTTGACAACCATGTACTGCTTGACAGTGAATACTGACATGACACCCATGTACTGCTTGACAGTGAATACTGACTTGACAACCATGTACTGCTTGACAGTGAATCCTGCTCGACAACCATGTACTGCTTGACAGTGAATACTGGCTTGACATTGAATACTGACTTGACAACCATGTACTGCTTGACAGTGAATACTGACATGACACCCATGTACTGCTTGACAGTGAATACTGACTTGACACACATATACTGCTTGACACACATGTACTGCTTAACAGTGAATACTGACTTGACAACCATGTACTACTCGACATTGAATACTGACTTGACAACCATGTACTGCTTGACAGTGAATACTGGCTTGACATTGAATACTGACTTGACAACCATGTACTGCTTGACAGTGAATACTGACATGACACCCATGTACTGCTTGACAGTGAATACTGACTTGACAACCATGTACTGCTTGACAGTGAATCCTGCTCGACAACCATGTACTGCTTGACAGTGAATACTGGCTTGACACTTGACAGCCATGTACTGCTTGACAGTGAATACTGACTTGACAACCATGTACTGCTTGACAGTGAATACTGACTTGACACACATGTACTGCTTGACAGTGAATACTGACTTGACAACCATGTACTGCTTGACAGTGAATACTGACTTGACAACCATGTACTGCTTGACATTGAATACTGACTTGACAACCATGTACTGCTTGACAGGGAATACTGACTTGACAACCATGTACTGCTTGTCAGTGAATACTGACTTAACAACCATTTACTGCTTGACAGTGAATACTGACTTGACAACCATGTACTGCTTGACAGCGAATACTGACTTGACAACCATGTACTGCTTGACAGTGAATACTGACTAGACAACCATGTACTGCTTGACATTGAATACTCACTTGACAACCATGTACTGCTTGACATTGAATACTGACTTGACAACTATGTACTGCTTGACAGTGAATACTGACTTGACAACCATGTACTACTCGACAGTGAATACTGACTTGACAACCATGTACTGTTTGACTGTGAATACTGACTTGACAACCATGTACTGCTTGACATTGGATTCTGGCTTGACAACCATGTACTTATTGACAGTGAATACTGACTTGACAACCATGTACTAGTCGACAGTGAATACTGACTTGACAACCATGTACTACTCAACGGTGAATACTGACTTGACAACCATGTACTACTCGACAGTGAATACTGACTTGACAACCATGTACTGCTTGACAGTGAATACTGACTTGACAACCATGTACTACTCAACGGTGAATACTGACTTAACAACCATGTACTGCTTGCCATTGAATACTGACTTGACAACCATGTACTACTCGACAGTGAATACTGACTTGACAACCATGTACTGTGTGACAGTTAATACTGACTTGACAACCATGTACTGCTTGACAGGGAATACTGACTTGACAACCATGTACTGCTTGACATTGAATACTGACTTGACAACCATGTACTGTGTGACGGTGAATACTGACTTGACAACCATGTACTTCTTGACAGTGAATACTGACTTGACAACCATGTACTGCTTGTCAGTGAATACTGACTTGACAACCATGTACTGCATGACATTGAATACTGACTTGACAACCATGTACTGCTTCACAGTGAATAGTGACTTAACAACCTGCTTGATAGTGAATACCGGTTTGACAACAATTTACTGCCTGACAGCAAAAACTGACTTGTCAATTAATGTTTTCGCTTTATGATCAGGTGAATGTTGTGTTTTCAACAGCAAAAGCCAACAAATGTGCATTGTAGGTAGTTTAGTTTCCTGTAAAGTGTATACACAATTAATTAACTTTGATATCTCCTAAGCATGACTTGAGTCATTAAAACAAGTTTTCCTGGTGCAGTGTTATAGAGAGGACAGTGTGTCACCATTGTGAGTCACGGATCTACAGACACTCAAGTGTTTAGCCTATCAATATCACCTGTCAATATCTCCTTGCAGGCTCAGATACAAGACCTTCAGCTGGGGGAAGGAGGGAATTCCCCCCCTGTACTGCCACACAAGGAGGTGTATCACCCCCAGTAATAACACCAATAATGCTCAGTGTTTATACACCAGTCATGTGACCTGGATCACCTGTGGAGCTATTTATAGTCACAGATTATTGCTTCACATGGGCTGGAGAGAGAGAGAGGGAGAGAGGAGAGCAAGAGACAGCCAAGTTCCTGGTTGGCCAAGGTGGTTGGTTAGCCTGGGTGGTTCTTCTAGAATGTCAGATGTCAAGTTGTGCTGAACTGGATTAGAAGTTGTGCTTGGTTCTGTAGAATGAAAATGGCTCTGTTGGTGACATCGTGTACAATGGGGAAACAGCCAAGTCGACTGCTGGACAAGGGGCCCTCGTACCTCCGAACTCGCACAAATACAAAACTCTTTGGTGAGTATGTCATATGTAAACAAACTTTTGTGTGTCAGCAGTGAATTCAGTCCATGATTTCAGGGATGTACAAATGTCATCTGGGGATGTACTGATTACTTCCTTCAAGGGGAACCCTTTTACCTATTCATGATCATTACATTTTGCATTTATAAATTTGAAATTTTTAGGTTGTTAATTATTTTTGAAATATTATTGAATTCATTGTTGGACATGTATTTCCCTTCCATGGTGTGTTATGTGAAATGTAAGTGTGTTCATGTGATGGCGGTCCATGTTCCCAGCCTGATTATGTTACACTGTTTACTTCACATCCTGGGGAGGAGGAGTCTGTATTGGGGGAAACATGCCAGTGGGGACTGAGTAGTCTGAATCGAACCATTTAACTGGAGGAGGGGGGGGGGGGAGAATTCTGTGCTGTGTGTTTTCATCATTAGCAGTTGTTAGAGCTGGTTTACAGTTATCGTTTTAAAGAACAAAATGATGAAATAAAACAGTGAGACATCTGTCACAGTTCACACAGCTTGCCTTGTATCCTGTGGCATAGAGACATTAATATTGGACACACAACGGTTTTCAAAATGTCAGTAAATTTGAAGCAAGTCTCACATTTTAAGCAAAATCAAACACTGACTTTTATTGTCAAACCTTCTGCTTGTTCCAGTAAATTTCAATGACCTGACATGATGTGACAATGATTTAGGAGTGACTGTAAGGGCCATTGAGGGTTGTACACAGGAGGTTAGTGGCATGTGATCAAGCAGTGTACCACTGCCTGGCTGTCGCCTCCCTCCGTGTAGCCAGTCAGGTATTTATTGATTCGACACAGTAGCCAAAGCAACAGCTGTTTATCAAGATCATTTTGCCGATATTACAACATGTCGGGTTTTGTCTGTGTTTATGTTAACCCTTGAAAGTGGCTCGTCACAAAATGGAGACTTTAAATGTTTAATTTCTTCAAGATACAGTTGTGATGATGTTCAGTTAGTGTATCCTTCTTCAATTATGTACCGGTTCACACATATTTTGACACAAACAGGATGCCAGTGTTTTTGGCTTAAATATGAATCTTATCATTCATATTTAATATGTAGTATTCAAGGTATGAAATGGATGAATAATTTAGTGATGTTCCATTCTTGGGTGCATTTTTTATAATAAGTGACATTAATGATATTTCTGCACTGTTGTAGCCATTTTTGCCACAAAAATTCATCATTTATTTGTTGTATAAACTGAGACATTCTATCATTTTACAGGATTTTTTATTAATTTTATTTGAAACTATCACTGTAATGAGGGGTTTCAGACAGGGGATTAGCTTTGACAGTACTTCCAATAATAAGACACACATCCTCAGGATAAGAACCGACTTTATTTACAAGTCAGGAAGCTGTTTGAGACAAAACTTCAAACTTCTTGTTGGAAAATCGAGTACAAATAGTAACACCTTAAATTTATCAAGGGTCAGTTTTCATGAGATACTAGTATACAGTTAGGATATGGCTCAAAGAGATCAGAGGATTTGTTGAAGCCACAAGTGTTGAACACCTTCTTGTGGACCTTGTAGGCTGTCCTCCCCTGGGTCATAGTTCACCCCCTCTCCTTCCCTCGGGGAACCACCAACTTCCCCACCCCGGGGCTTACATGAAGTAAGTTAATTACTGGACTCGGGGATCCACACCTGTAGCAGGTGCTAATTACTGGACAGGATCAGTGTCAGCTTGTACAGCCAGCCTGCAACTGTTGTTCTTTGAGTAGATGATGCTCTGAGCACAATTAATATAACTAATATTTAGAGATGAGATTTGGAGATATCTGAATGTGTGTGGATGTTGATCTTTGTGTAGGTCTGTTTCACACCTGAGCTTGTCAGGGTCAAGATAAGGCCATTGTTTGTTCATGGATGAATAGCTCTGTGTATGGAGATAACTAAACAACAGTTTTTCAGTTTATTGTTCACAAACATGTTTCAACAAGTGTTGACCTCACAGGTGACTGGAAAACTGCCTCAATCTACCTGTCACATGTTTTCATAACTTATAAGGCAGGATGTTGTTCTTTCTCACCCACCCCCTTGTAACAGACATGGGCATACCGGTAAACACTGATGTTTCATATTGTTTCATATCGTTTCATATTGTTTCATATTGTTTCAGGAATACATGTAATAACCTAGGTTGTGGTTGTCAGAAAGTTTATGACACCTTTCAGGTTAACGAGGTCTCAGAGGTTGTTTTGTCCCAAAGTGTTCACCTGTTGGAGTCCACAAAGCTCAACTTATGTTTTGGCATCATGTTGGTGTTGAGGCTGAAAATGTTAATAGTTGGGTGTACAGGACAAAAAGATACTTGAGGTTGCCACTCTGACCTCAGATACAGGCTGTGATGTAAGTGATGCAACACAACCGACTCATGGTTCCTAAACTATCCTGTGAGTTCATACATATAAAAGAGTATTTCTGAATGTCAGTGAAGAGGAATGCCATTACTGTGTGTAGCTCATGGGGAAATGACATGCACCATGTTCACCCCTATATGAAAAATATTCACAGTGAAATTCCCAAAGTCACATCAAGCCATCATTACACGTGCCCTGGGGTACATCCAAGAAACCCTATTTTTTCTTTCCCTTTCTGGGACCTGAAGGTTATATATCAGAAATATCTTCCTTGTTAATGATGTCAGGTGTTACCTATCACCAAAGTTAAATCATTAATGGAGTGAAGAGGAGTATCACAGAGAGCGTAATTAGGTGTGGGTGAAGGTGTACCTGCAATAAGGTCAGGTGAGAGGTGTCCTCAGGAGCCATGTCATCTCTTGATGGAGTAGGGGCTATATTCTCATATCACCTAGCTTCTAGGAAAACTCATCGTGTTAAACTGAACTTTGTCATAGTGGGCAGCACATTGTTTGTATGCAGTGAGACTCTAAATGTGGGGTTCTGGCCATGACTGCACAACGCCATTTAGGAAGTGGTCAAATGAAACACATTTCTTTGATGGGCATTTTAGAAGTTGAGTTGATGAAGAATGATGACAATTTTTATGGACATACAACTTCTTTTATTCTGTGAATGGCGACGTGTTGACATAGATTCTAATGTCGAGAAATGTCGCCATTCACAGAATAAAAGAAGTTGTATCTCCATAAAAATTGTCATCATTCTTCCAATGAAATACATGTTCAGGGCTATTACATCCCATCAGCATACAACCACCTAATCCACAAATACTTATCCACACAACCCACTCTGGCTTCTCATTTACCTGCCTAACTCACATTCCTCACCACTGGTTTCCCACTAATTAATCCCCCACCACCTTGGCTTCTGCCTGATTAACTTACATTCACTAATTGTCATGGTAATCCCTCTCATCTCGTTATGTTATCTTAGCTCATCACCATGTTATTGTAGCTCATCACCATGTTATTGTAGCTCATCACCATGTTATTGTAGCTCATCACCATGTTATTGTAGCTCATCACCATGTTATTGTAGCTCATCACCATGTTATTGTAGCTCATCACCATGTTATTGTAGCTCATCACCATGTTATTGTAGCTCATCACCATGTTATTGTAGCTCATCACCATGTTATTGTAGCTCATCACCATGTTTGTATTGTCATCACCATGCTCATCACCATGTTATTGTAGCTCATCACCATGTTATTGTAGCTCATCACCATGTTATTGTAGCTCATGTTATTGTAGCTCATCACCATGTTATTGTAGCTCATCACCATGTTATTGTAGCTCATCACCATGTTATTGTAGCTCATCACCATGTTATTGTAGCTCATCACCATGTTATTGTAGCTCATCACCATGTTATTGTAGCTCATCACCATGTTATTGTAGCTCATCACCATGTTATTGTAGCTCATCACCATGTTATTGTAGCTCATCACCATGTTATTGTAGCTCATCACCATGTTATTGTAGCTCATCACCATGTTATTGTAGCTCATCATGTAACTTTCTTTGATGCTTTGTTCTCCCACCTTTGTTATTGTTATCTCAATATCATATGTACATGTATCTTGTATATTTATACTGGGGTACCCCATCATTCCCCCATATGCTTGAAAACGGTATAAGAATCTACACCGAAATGTCGCCATTGTCAAAATAAAGAAGTTGATGATCCATAAAGGGTAGCCTAGTGGTTGAAGCATTCAGTAAAGTAGAGGTGGAGGGGTAGCCTAGTGGTTGAAGCATTCAGTAAAGTAGAGGTGGAGGGGTAGCCTAGTGGTTGAAGCATTCAGTAAAGTAGAGGTGGAGGGGTAGCCTAGTGGTTGAAGCATTCAGTAAAGTAGAGGTGGAGGGGCAGCCTAGTGGTTGAAGCATTCGCTTGTAGGGCTTCCACGGGTGCTCGAGGACGAGTCGGGTTTAGTTGGACTTGAGTCAATTTTCAGGGACTCGAGGACTCAAAAAGGGGAGATAACTCGAATTATTGCCGTTGACAGACTGCCTGCCATGTGCTAAGCATGAGCGGCCGTTAACGTCTAATATTAAGATAAGATATAACTTTATTATCCCGGAGGAAATTCTTATACATCCAACTGTCTCAATATGAATATGTACACAGTTCACAAAAATATACACAATAATTACATGCTCAAAACGAATGCTATTTACACAATAAAACTGACATGATATAATTCAATTAACCACATAGGTAAAGAGGCTGAATAATTCTAGTTTTAATCACGTGATGGTGATTCAAAATATTTGTTGCATTCACTAATACTTGATGGTATGAAAGACTGTCGAACTCTGTTTTGAGGGAAGGTTTTTCCTTATCCTGACTCATGCTCTTTTGCTTGTCTCCTTCCTCTTGCGAACATAGTGGAACACTTGTATCTCCCTAATTGAAGTTCCTTCAATGTAAAATCACTAATTAGTACACCACGAGTTACCTCCCTTCCACAAGCGCGGGGACGAGGGGCGCCACCTCTACCCATGTGCCTCACTCTCTCCTTCTTCGCCCAGTGA